TGTCATCTATTAAATGATAAAAATCTTCTTATCGGTGAATTACCGAGGATATGCATGTTGGACTGGTTGCGTCAGCATCAATGCTCTGCTTCATCTTCTTGAACAAGTCATCAACATCAATTTCTTCAGACTGGAAATCCTCTGCAAATCAACAAATAGCGAAAAGCAAATACACACACCTCTTCATTATCTTTCCAAACAATTTGTTTGCCGACAAGCAGACACTTAACATACATCAGAAGAACCAAAAGTATGCAAGCATACCAGCTTCAGCTCTTTGTAGCATCAAGCAGCCATCTTCACCCAATGTCACAATTACAAATTTGATGTTTGGCAACTTCAGAAGTACAGAAACAAGAGCATCTGGGACTGAAGGGGCCTCTGTCCATGCCTGGGCGACAATACATCTTTTGTCAATTTTGTCAAGCTCAACCTCTGAAAGGTTGGAAAGGAACAAAGATATCACAAGTAAAGCTAGGAGGTGAAGAATAACACTATTTACCTTTCTTAGAAATAGTACTGAATTAAAATCGGGAAACAACAAATTTCACTCCTGGTAAAGAGCATATTAGCTACAGATACCAAGGAGACGAAATCTAAAACATTTACTCATTTACCTAGACCTTATTAGCAACAAAGATTTAGAAGCAGATCACCAGATATATAAATTGAAAAGAGTGCAGCAAAGGAATCATCCCATTGCAGTTTGCCAGCTTAGCTAACTTGCCTGTGGAAATTTCGCTGAGCATACAACATAAGTTGCCAAGTTTAGAAGGTCATCTACCCTTTCTCTTTTACTTTCTGCATCAATTACAATAGGTATATTCCTCCGATGTGCCTGCACTTGAAATCCAAAAGGCATGCAGTTTTTTTCCATTTGGTTGAAAACATAGTCTTCGAATAATTTGAACATAAATAAGAAAAAGAGTTAAGTACTCGGTATGTTGGATCTAGGACGAAATGAGCAATATGATCAGAAGCAAACAGTAAGATAGCAGATTCCGTGACTCCAATTTGTGTGACAAAGAAGACCAAGTTAAAATTACCTCTTGGGCCACAACTAAAGCTGACAACAATTCAGTCTCTTGCAATACTCCATCAAAATAGACAAGTCTCGCATCATCCAGAGCTGAAGACAAGTTCGACTTGGATAGATCCTCAGGTATCATGGGCGGGTATCCTGGAGTGTATATGCAAGTACGAGTTTTCCTGGGAGATTAAACAATATTAATCATGAGCAGAGCCAACAGCTTCAATAGAACAAGTGCATAAAGGACAGCAATCCAATTGTATAGTATTTATACTTCACTCATGCAATATGTGGTGGAGAAAAATATAGTTGAATACTTTGGAACCAATTATGCCGTACATTTAGTCAAGTGCCAATTTTAGCACAGGAAAATTAGTGTAGATGAGGAATCCAATTAGCCACTCACGCTTGACTATCGACAATCACATAAGAGAATGTCGAGTGGCCCCCTTTGGAAACCTGAACCAAATTATAGGTTGAAGCACATTAAATACTCCGCTTGTGTTATATTTGATTTACTACATATTGGAAATAGTTTAGATTGTGATAAATTCAACAGATGCATGAAAGTACATCCATAATTATTCAAGAGAAACATGCAAGAACCTTCAAGTCTGAACTTTGCCAAACTCACCACCATAAACGATGTATCAACTCCATCAGCTTCCAGCTCTTCCAGTATTCCTTTTCCTTGAGAGTCATCCGCAATCTACAGCAAAAAATGTTATAAAAATGTGAAGACTTTCAATGCATTATTGCAAAAGGGTTATGTGTGGAAAGGTGAAGGAATAAAGTAGTTTCATAGAAACAACAATTATAGGTAACTCCTTAAGCAATAATCCTCAATGATACAAAGTACACAATGAGTTGGGTTGCACTTTAATAGATATGTATTTATTCCACGTTATGCAGATTTCAGAGGAACAGGAAGTAATATTAGCAGTTGAATCTTGACCACATAATGTGGGACAAGTTTACTAGACAAGTTTATTCTGGTAGAGTTACATATTTCTTTGGCATTAAAGGCTGACTTTCTCCAATAAGTCCAGATTAAAGGAACACAGAAGTCAAACTGTGCCATAGAGGCACAAACCACTCTCTAGGAAATCATAGTGTCAGGAGGTAAATCGGTGTTTGTCAATTCCAATAGCAGGAAACAGGTTCAAAGGTTCAAGAAGCAAATTACAGCCAAGCTAAGATAGAACTTGTGTTCTTTAACAGTGCTATGACACCATAATGGAATTCTTTATCTCATATCTAAAAGTTCTATTCTTATATGTATGCAGCAAAACAATGTTTTCAGGGGGCAACAAAAAGAAATTCCTTTTCCTTTTTTTTCTCAGAACTGAGGAATCTCCTAGGGCCAATGGTGTATGGTTCGAAACTCGGTAGATAATGGGCCCGCCCCTCAACCCTTCTGCACTTCAATACCAGATTTTCGCCTGCGGCAGGGTACAAACCCGCTACGTGCGTTTAACCAACACATTACACGTTGCGCTCTTACTACTAGACCAAAGCCCTGGGAATCCTTATGCGTTGAGCCAAGAAAGGAATGCTTCTTTGAAGCTCTTATAACATAAAATACAGTCTGACGAAAATTAGAAACTTACACAGCTAAACCTGTACTTGAATAGTAAGGAAAAAAAAAAAAAGAGCACGAATTTGAGATAGTTAATACATTTAATTGGTATCAATAAGCCTCAGATGTCTCATACCTTTGATATAATTCTTGGAGATAGGCCTAAACGAGCTGCACAAGTTAACGCGTTCCCTGCGTTGCCACCTCCTTGAACCTAATAAAAAACACAACTTTCCTTGAAATTTTAACTGAAAATAAAAAACAAAAAGCACACTATCAATCACACTTAGAGAGAACAAAAATCAATCACACCTGAAAGCTGGTGCTACGAATCTTTTCATCAGGCTTAGGATAAGAATCCACAGCAACCAAGAAGTCCACCGCCGCCATACCGCAACCTAGCTACTCAAAAAGCGCAGAACAAATTCAATACATATAGTAAATTCTACAACGGTTTCACCATAGATTCTTTTCACGTGTGAAGAAACTGTCAAAGAGAGGAAGACCCACAACGGTGCGATTTTCTGGGGTTGACGGAATTGACATTTTCAACCTGAATTTGATTAAACAAGACATTTATATATGTTCAGTTTAGTTTACACAAAGAGAAAGCTAAAAGAAAGGTAATCATTTTTATGAGATTAAGGTACTTACCTAGTAAAGGGAGACTTGCAGGTTAGATTATAAAGTCGAGGAATATGATAAAGAAGAGTTGACGGCGTTGATCGGCAGGGAAGTGTGGGAGAGCTGTATGACTGCAACCGAAACGTCGCCATTTCTGGGAGATATTCAACTATTAAAGCAGTGATTTTGCGAAGACGCAGAGGAAATGAAGTTGATTAGTCAGCTCCTCAGTGAAGGAGGTGTTTACCATCAGCTTTGTTGGTCAGACTGAAAGGAAAGTAGGCAAACTTTTTCTTTTGTTTCGGAGAGAAACCAAAAGAGACCAGCTTCTCTGGCGCCGCAATAAGATTAAACACCAACATAAGTAAAATACAATAATCATAATTAATACCCTTTCCCTTTCAAAATTTATGTGTTTGTTTGACTAAACACAAATCGCATTAAAAAATAAATAAATACACATGAATTGAAACAGAGATAATATGTTATTAAATTCATACAAACCTAGGGGTTTTGATTTCGTAGATCAAGAAAATAATGTCAAAAATAAAATGTGAAATTATTTTATTTATTTTTGGTCAAAAAATAAGTAATACATATATATTTTGATATTATTTTATATTTTGTTTTGTTTTATTTTATGTGATGCAATTTGATTAGGCACGAAATTTAAGAAATAAAAAATAAAATTTATAATATATATATTTGTATAACTATAAAGAGTGTTTGATATGCGGACTAAATTATTTCGGGATTATAATCATGAAATTATAATTCCTGAACTAATTTTATTCCACTTGAAAGGTGGAATAAAATAATTTTAAATTTTTTGGGATAAGTAGTCTGGATTAAATTTATATTGTCAACCAAATACAATATAAATTTAATCTTATACTTAATCTCACCTTATTCCATGTACCAAACCAAACGACCCCTAAATTACCTCATTATAAAAAGATATTACTTTTTATACAAAATTTAAAAATACATCAAATAAATTTAAAAATACATCAAATAAATTGAGACTGAATTACAATTTAATGTATTATCTTTATTATGAGATAATAATACGAGAAATAGCTAATACTCCTATAGAACAACCAAATGACAAAACATTAATTCTCTCTCTATCATTTAAAAAGGCCAAGGAAATGTGGTTCTTGAAAAAGGTTGGGAGTAGGGCTGCTTATCAGGCGGATTGGACGGTTATTTATTCTTAACGGTTTGGCTTATCGGTTATCGGCTTTTAAATATATTAATCCGCTAGCCACCCGATAAGATATCGGGCGGATTGGTATCGGTTTAGCTCTTATCGGGCGGTTTATCGGATTGTTTGCTGACTGCTGTGACTCAAAATAAAATTTCTATGCTCAGCAGACTACATTCCAGTCTATAGAATATGACACCTAAGAAGAGAGCTAAATAGAAAAAATATAGAGCTACATTCCAGCTTATTTTCCAGTAGAATCAATCTCTGGGGATGAGTCTATTAACAACTTATAACTATTAGAAGAAATAGAAGAGAACACCGGGTATAACACATGACATCAAAATTATCTAATAGTAACTAACTGGAATAGTAAATTATAACTAAATGTCTAATAGTAAATTAGTAATAAATAGAATACTAAAAGTGGAAGAAGGATTTTTAATCCGCCCCCAAACCGATAAGCTGTTAATAAAAAAATTTCAATCGATTTCCCCCGTTAAACTGATACCAATAAGTCATTAACCTTCCGTTTCGGTTTCGGTTCCGTTTTTAACCCCCTTGGACTTGGGAGTTGGGAGTGGTAAACTAGGCTGCCCACCATCTCTGATCCAAGAATTCAGAGAGGAGATTTGAATCCAATGGAAACTGAAACTTTCAATAGACACAACAAATCAAGAAAGAAACAAAGATCTCCACTTTTGATCTTCCTTTTTCTCTTCACTCTAATTCTCCTCTTCTACTACTTCAAAAACTTCATTTCCCCTTCTCTTCTTCCCCTTCCCCAAAAATCGAAAATACCCATTATACCCCGCCCCTCGCAATGCAACCCCACAAATCGCCTTCAGGGGAAGTTTCTCTGGTACGCACCTCACAGTGGGTTCAGTAATCAGTTGGCTGAGTTCAAGAACGCTATTTTGATGGCTAAGATCCTTAATCGGTCCCTAATTGTGCCGCCCATATTGGATCACCATGCTGTTGCGCTTGGTAGTTGTCCTAAATTTAGGGTTTTGAACCCTATTGAGTTGAGATACGCTGTTTGGAATCATAGTGTCCATCTATTGCGTGATTGCAGGTAATCTAGAAATTTGTTCCAGTTCCCTTTAGCTCAGAAAATTGCATTATTTTATGTTTGTTAATTTATCTGACTGAATTATGTAGAGATATTGATTTAAAGAAAGTTTTCTGTTGCTATAAACCATCTATTAAGTGTAAAACGAGAAATTTAAAGTTAAATTGTTTGTAAGTATAGAAATGTGGCACATAAAATGGGGCAGAGGGAGAATATGTGAAACTATAGTTCAGTGGTTGTCAGGAGCTTTTTAGTTATATGCCAGTGTAGGAATATATGTGGATATAGAAAATCTCTAGTTCTAGAGAACCCATACTCAAATGACAAATTATTAATGGAATGCACGTGAGCAGAGCGAGACCTAGTTGATTGATTGATTGATTGAATGTGCTTAATGCTAGCATCTAAACTATGTGCTTAGAATGCAGTGACAAAAGTTTTTCTGGGAACTTTGTATGCATTGCAAACCACTATCTTGTTTGTTGTTATCTTTCTGCTGCAGATTTAACTTGGACTTTATAAGTTATAAAATATTAACTATTGAATTTCGTTGTGCATTTTGATTTTTGATTGAGAAAAGATAGACATGCTTTCTTGGATGGAGTATTAGGGAGTTTCTAATATATTGCTTAAATTGTGTGTTGCAGATATGTATCCATGGCTGATATAGTTGACATCTCACCACTTGTGTCTTATTCAACAGTGAGATTTGTTGATTTTCAAGTATTTGTGTCCTTGTGGTGTGGTGTAAACTTGGATGATATTTGCTCTAAAGACCAAAATATTCCATCTCCTTTATCTGAGAGACTTAGAGAATGCGGTTCTCTGTTGTCTGGTTACTATGGTAGTATAAGTGATTGTTTGACTGCTTTAGAAGATGACTGTAGAACGACAGTTTGGACATATCAAAAAGATGTTGAGGACGGGGCTTTAGACTCATTTCAACCTGATGACCAACTTAAGACGAAAAAGAAGATTTCATTTATTAGGAGAAGAAAAGATGTATATAAGGCTCTTGGTCCTGGTTCTGCAGCAGAATCAGCCACTATTTTGGCGTTTGGAAGCCTTTTTACTTCTCCTTATAAGGGATCTGAATCCCATATCGACATTCATGAAGCTCCTAATGATCCCGTGATACAGACCTTAATCGAAAAGATAGAGTTCCTTCCCTTTGTTCCTGAAATAATAAATGCTGGCAAGAAGTTTGCTCTTCAAACTATCAAAGGTCCCTTTCTTTGTGCACAGCTCAGGCTACTAGATGGACAATTCAAGAACCACCATAAATCTACTTTTCTTGGTCTGAAGCAGAAGTTAGAATCTTTGAAGCAAACAGGACAGAAACCGATCCATGTATTTGTGATGACTGATCTCCCCGTGGCTAATTGGACGGGGAGTTACTTAGGGAGCATAGCAAAAGATTCAGATGCCTTTAAGCTGTTTGTTATTAGAGAAGAAGATGACTTGGTTCAAGAAACGGCTAAAGAAGTCATGGCTGCGGGGCATGGGCTAAAACTTGGTTCAATTTTACCGAGTTCAGCAGGGATTAACAAGCATCACCATCCTCGATCTTTTTCTGATGTTCTCTTATACATAGAGGGAACAGTCTGCAGCTGCGCTTCTCTTGGTTTTGTTGGCACTGCTGGGTCAACGATTGCCAAGAGCATAGAATTAATGAGAAAACATGGCATTTGTTCTGGCTAAAATGCTGCTATTGTTGTTGGCTTCTAGCTAACTAATGCTATTTACCTAGATTTGTGGTCTCCCCTTTGGCAGCTAGAATCCACTTATCACCTGAAATTCTCCCTTATGCCGGTCTAAACAAACTTGAAATTGCGAATTAACAATGTCCTATGTGAATTCAAAGATGACAAGGCTGACAAATCTGAAGGATATTAGTGATCCATACTACTGGAAAAGGAACTAGTGGATGAAGAATCCGCAAAGCTTATTTCAAGGGATTGGAACCACTGATGGGTGAATATTTTTGTGCAAAGGTTCTTTTCTTCAAATTTATAGTGCTAACTAGATACCACTTATTTGATTTAAGGCGGTAATTGTGTGTGCAAATTTAAGTCCATAATTGGATACAAGATCAACAACCTTCAAATCAGCGTCTTTGTTGATCTCCTGACGTTTAATAACCTATATATTAGCAAAGAAGAACCATGTAGATCAGTTGAAATATACAGATTGTTTATTTATCTGTTAGAAATTCCCTCACTTTCCTGAATACAGTCTATGTTGGATGGTGTGGCTTACTATATGCTAAAAAGAAATTGAAAGGGTACTTCTATGTTGATTCTCAGTTGTTCATGTCCTCCTCACTATAATGTTGCTATGAAACATGGAAACACAAGCATACTGTTATCTGTTCAACGGCGTTATATATTTAAATTTGGCTGCAGCTGAACTATCTTCTGAATAATGGTTTATGATTTTGTTAACAAAGCTTCAGCATATAATCTAATATAAATATTTTAAATAAAATCAAGGTAACAGCCTAATAGGGATCAAGATTTTGAGCCAACTACTGTAGAGTAGAAATTTCAGACTTTTATCTAAACTCATTGTGTATTTCACAAAAACTTTCTCACAGAGAAGTATGAATTGACAGCAAAGTTTCCTGAGTTATTTGCTTCTGGAGAAAAGGGTAGTACTGAATATTGTTATATAGATTGATTCAGGTTGATATTTGTTACTCCTATCTTTTATTTGTCTATCCTTGTGGACTAGGGCTCACACGGTAGCAGAAGAAAAAAATGCTATGTGATTTTTTCCCATCAACCTAAGATTTTGGCTGATAGAGTTACACAGTACCATTGTTGGTGAGACTTGGAAGGTTGCAGCTACCTGTGGAATAGACGAGTTGTGCACAAGTTGGTCTGTACACAATTGCTATATAGATTTTTTTAAAGTGGATGATATTCATAATTTGTAACTACTTGTATTGAACCATACTGATGATGGCATTTATATGAGTTATGTTTCTGTTGGTGTTCTTTTTTCTCATCAAGATATATTAGACATTTCGGTTTACTAGCTCTCTTTTGGTTGAGAAGCAGGGTAACACAAATATTTGCATGATGTGCTTACTGTTCAATGTTCATCAAATAATCTATTTCTCAACCTTGGATTATAGCTAATGCTGTTTAAGTTTTGGAAAAATAAAGGTTGGAAGCTGATTGTATAGTTTTGTTATATAGCTGGAGTAACCTCTCCCCTATTGGCTCCCCCGAATTATTTTTGGATTTTGTTAGCTCCCTAACACTAGCATAGGACCATCTGTACAGAGCTAACATATCATCTTTTGTATTAGCACCTGGACAGTGCTCTTTTGCATCTTCTTGATGCTTTTTATACTAATATATTTTACTTATCAAAAATATAAAGGGTGGAAGTTGAAAGCGGAAGACTCCTTTAGAGGTTTCGAATTTCAATTTAAGTACACTATTGAACTAACGAAATGGGCATTGCCTTGATTTTCTATGCTAACTTCTAGGTGGGAACCTGAACCTGAACCTGAAGATGAAATATGACTGTTTAACTGTGGGCTGAAGCACAAATTTTATTATTCAAGTGGTTACAGTTGGATTAAGGAGGTGGTTATTCTTCTTTGCCAAATGTATTGAGATAATGCAGCCTCTAGGTACCTGTATTTGTCACCAGGGTATTCAAGAAAATGACAAGGAAAGCTATTTCCCTTATTATTAGTTACATTTCTCGGTGGAGCCAGGATTTGAATCTTATGGATTCGGGATCGTAATACTTTTAAGTTATTGGGTTATAAATTAATAATTTATATATATTCACTGAATTTTGATAAATATACGATTTGAACAAAAGTAATTGGGTTCGGTCGAACCCGCATTCCACACTCTAGCTCCGTTCATGTTCCTAAGGGGTAAAATTTACGTACACACTATGTTTCTCATACCCCACTTGTGGAATTCCATTAGGTTTGTTGTTAGTTATTTTTATATGAGTATACATTGCAAGCCTTATTTTTCTCTTTAGATGGAACTCTATATCATTTTGGGTAATTTGCACTATCTGTTGACTTTCTTGGATGTGCTTTTATTATTGCTATAAGGACAATAATTGATGTTGTCAATTAGTTTGCCAATATAACATCCACAAATTTTGTCGTGCATGTTCAATGACATTTTGGTCCACATCTTCAATAACTCCACCCATATTTCTGGTTCTGCACATTTTTTAAGTTGGACAGTAGAAAAAAGGATGTATCTATTTTAGTTCAAATGATAAGTACCTTGTATATTTTGATCTAAATTATTTTATTGACTAGTCACTTTAGTGGAAAGAGTCGAAATATTGGGTGTTTGCACCTACTCAATTTCATAGATGCATTATTGAATATTTACATAAATAGTTATCAGGAGACCATAATTGATTAATACATATTTTCATCTTTATTTATCAATTAATTTTGGTAAATAATTTATTTAGTGAGAATATAAAGTGCGAGCAAGTTTTTTGTGAAAATAGAGATATAATACTTGTCTTTGGTCAAAAAACATCAAATAGGAAAAGGAGGAATTGGTCAAAGCATCAAATAGGAAAGAGGAAGGCACCGTCCAGAAATTAAAGGACTGTTAGTTTTGAACCTTAATAGGTGTTTAGGTTAGTGAGCCCTTTAAAATATCAAGGACATTTTGGCTAATTGTATATAATTTGAATCCATATAATAATGATTGAACCTAAACTTAAAAATTATTTTGGCTCTCAGATCATTTAGAGATATAAACTTTTACGAATAATGATTCAAGTCAATATAGTCAGTTTTTTTTATTCTTAATATATTTTTGGTTAAGAGTAGTAACGAAAACCCACGTGAATGGCGTGATAGTTGAGCGAGAATTACCATTTTGTGTTTTTTTGTCCCGCCCACCCCACCCCCATTTTGTATTATTTGTTGACTTGACCAGTAGTGGAGCTATTGGTTTCTCTCTATTTCACTTGAAGCAAGAATTTTAATTGCGCTTCCAGATTGGTTAGTTTATTAGACCGTTAATTCCTATTTTCTTTAGAAATGTTAAAATAGTTATTTTCCGGATGATGGATATTCGTCTTGAGGCTCCCATTAATATGAATTCGCTCTATGTAAGAACTATTAAAAGAAATGTTTTTCCTACCATAATTTTTTTATAATGGATTTCGCATGAATCGCTGATAATTTGGGGAATAGTAACTGATAAATTATTGTTTACCAAGTAATCACAAAGTTGGAAAAATGGCCTTAACTAAATTCAGGAATAAAAAAAAAAAAATCAGCTTATTATTATAATGAATACGGGAGAGTAGGGGTGGCAAACGGGTGGGGCAGGTTGGATATGGGATGAGTCGAAATGGGTAATGAAAAAACGAATAATTTATCCGATCCGATCCATATTTAATACGGATAAAAAACGGATTAATCGGCGGATAACATTGTTATTTCATGAATATGATACCTTTTGGGAGAATTCCTAGTCTCCCAAACTTGAGAAACCTCCAATTTGAGACTTTACAAATATAAAAGTTACTCTCGGTGCACGATAAGTATATCTAGCTATTGTGCGCCTAGGCCGGCAATGGGCAGAGGGAGGCCACGCAGGGACACGACTAAGGCTCAGGTGGCAGAGCAGAAGACCATGAAAGCTGTTCGCCGAAGTGGAGGAGTGAGGGAAGCTATTGCGTCCTTGGAGCAACTGGACAATGAATCGGAGATCTGGCCGACGCTTAGCAAAACAATTGAGTTTCGCACACTGCCAAACACCGCCGGTAACATGCAGATGATTGCAAATACGGGCATAGGAACAAAGAGCAGCTCGAAACCAGTAACAACGAAGGAGGTGATTAACTCTAATCCCTATATAGGAAAGGGCATGGACAACCCCAATTCACCTATGCCAGAAAGGGAGATTATCCCCAACCCATCAGTGGAAAAGGGAGTGAATAATCCTCACTCACTAACGAGGAATTCAACTAAGGAGGGGGCAACAATAACAATTATCAAGGAAACTACAATAGGGAATTCAATCGAAATGAATAAGGATGTCCAAAGTGCAGTGGGGGAGGAACCTAAAACTATGCAAAAAGGAGCAACAATCATTGATGCTCAAAGGCGATTGAATCTAAACCCACCTGAAAACAACAAGGAATGGAAGAACTTATTCTATGAAAATAGGATGGCAGCACGAGGAATGAATCTGAATTTTATTTCCCCGATTATAAAGGATGGGGAGAAAATCATTGAGCTAAACAAACTGGAGATTGAAAAGGAAAATGCGAAGAGGAAGCAGGCCCTGATCCTATATGTGGTGGGTGTAACTCCTACCATAGGAGCACTGGAAAGGTATATTACTGCTCATTGAAATTTTGTTGCGAGACCCAAAGGTCTTCTACCACAATGATGGCTATTTCCTAGTAAAATTTACTTGTATTGAGGACAGGGATACGGTCCTCTATTCAGGGCCATATACCATGAACAACAAACCAATGATCATCAAACCATGGTGCTGATTTTGATTTTAATACTGAAATTTTACAAATTGTTCCATTATGGGCTAAACTTCCAAAATCTTCTTTTGAGTTGCTGGGGCATGGACTCCCTTAGCAGGATTGGAAGTGGTTTAGGTATTTCTCTGTACGCTGATGAGTGCACAACAAATGTGGAACGAATTTTCTATGCTAGGATCCTGGTTGAAGTAGATGTGACAAGGGAACTGCCGCATGTAGTTAAGGTGATGGACCTAAGTGGAAGACAGTTTGAGCAAGATGTTGTGTACGATTGGGTTCCGAAATATTGTCATGTATGCTTACAAGTTGGGCATAGCTGCAAATCAGTGCAGAAACAACCGCAAGCAGCAATTCCTAAAGCAAAAGCTGCTAAACCTAAGCAAGCATGGCTGAAAAAAACAACAACTACTGGAGCTCAAGAGGGTGGCCTACATGCTGGAAAAGGAGAGGAAGGGGAAAAGCTAGGGAAGATCCAGAGTACAACAAAAACAACATAAATGCAAGATGACCAGTGGAGAAATGTAAAAGGAAAATGTAACGACCCGGCCGGTCGTTTCGAGAGTTATAGCCCTGTTTTTTTCATTTCTACTTCTTTTTGTGTTATTCAGCTATATTATATTATATCGGGTTAGTTGGTTCGGGTCCGGAAGGAACTCGGAGTGAATTGAGACACTTAGTCTCTTAAGTAGAAACTTAAGTTGGAAAAGTCAATCGGATGTTGACCTATGTGTAAATAATCTCAGATTTGAATTCTGATGGTTCCGTTAGCTCTGTTAGGTGATTTTGGACTTAGGAGTGCGTTCGAAATGTGATTTGGATGTCTGTGGTAGAATTAGGCTTGAATTGGCGAAATTGGAAATTTGACGATTTTAGTCGGCAGTGGAAAATTTAATATCGGGGTCGGAATAGAATTTCGGAAGTTGGAGTAGGTTCGTAGTGTTATTTGTGACGTGTGTGCAAAATTTGAGGTCATTCGGACGTGGTTTGGTTGGTTTTGGCATCGGTTGCCGAATTTGGAAATTTAGAAGTTCTTAAGCTTGAATCCGACGGTAATTTGTTGATTTGATGTTGTTCTGAGTGATTCGAAGGTTCGACTAAGTTGGTATATTGATATATGCCTTGTTGGTCTTTTTGGTTGAGGTCCTGAGGGCCTCGGGATGATTCCGGGTGGTTAACGGATTTGTTGAAGTTGGAATTTGCAGCTGGGGCTACTGCTTCTGCTATTTCCGCACCTGCGAAAGAAAGGGTCGCAGGTGCGAGGCCGCTGGTGCGCGTGGGGAGTGCGCAAGTGCGGGAGATGCTGGGCCAAGGCTAGGAACGCAGGTGTGAAGAATTGGCCGCATCTGCGAGCCCGCAGGTGCGAGGCTTTGAGCGCAGATGCGGAGATGAGAAGTTTAGACTAGTTTCACAGATGCGCACCTGGGACCGCAGATGCGAGTCCGCAGGTGCGAGGAAGGGGACCGCAGGTGTGAAATCTGGGT